TCGTACAACCCCAACCAGGGCCAGAGACAAACCTCAACTGAACTGCAACCGAGGTATGTGCCCTTGGCCGGAATCAAACCCATGACTCATTGGTCCTCTGGCCAGTACTCTACCACTGGGCCAAACTGGCCAGGGCTGTTTGCTTTTTTTTTTACATTACATTTAGGTATTAGAAATGAAGAGTAGCCCTGTTTGGCTCAGCGGTTGGAACGTCGGCCTGCGCCCCTGGTTGGGTCGTGCAGGTGGCAACCACTCAATGTGTCTCTTTCACATCAATGTTTCTCTCTCTCTTTCCCTCCCACTCTATCTAAACAAAAAATGGAAAAATGTCCTTGGGTGAGGTTAAGAAAAAAAAAAAGAAATGAAGAGTAGTTTGGAAAAAGATACAGTTCTAGATAAGTACCAAAGCCATGTTAAAGAAATTTGTCCATTCTTTTTCCTCTTTGACTAACACTATAGTGGGACTTTTTTTTTTTTTTTTTCACAGAAGGCTACATTTAAGTAAAAATTTGTTTAATTTAGTTATTTTTAAAAGGTGATTGATGCACAAAATTGTTACTTTTACATTTTTAAAAAATGGGAGCATTGGGTACAGAAATGTGGAAAAATAATAAGGAAAGTGATGAATTTCACAGTACAGGCAGAGAGATTTACCTTTTTCTCTTAATCAGGTGGCAGGAGAAGGAGATAGATACAGAAACTGAAATAGATTTAGGTGATATTTATGAATATAATATATTCATTAAGCACCATGTGTCTTGCATTGTGCTCAGCACTTTATCATTATCTTATTTAATTTTCACAACTCCCCTATGAGACGTGAATATTATTACTCCATTATTACTTTACAGTTGAGAGAACAGGCTTAAAGGCCCCAGGTTACTTGCCCAAGACCACTCAGCTTATCAGCAGCTTCGATCTGACTTCACATCCACATTCTCAGAAGGTCTTTGTCTTTGGGTAGACCTATTTGTGGATGAGATTTATGTTGTTAAGTAGGACCAACATTCATCTTTTAATTTATAAATTATCTTAGAAATTTTCAGATCTAACTGTCTCATCACTTTATAAGAAAAAAACCTAAAGTTTAAAGATATTAAGTAAGTAATTTGCATCCAAGCTTGTTAACCAAAAATACTCAAGCAGTGCTTTCCTCCACATTTTAAAAGCTGGAATTACTTAATTTTTAAGTTATATTTGCCAAGTTTTATTTTATCAATTTACAAATTGTGATTATACTGTCACTGTTATTTATACTCTATATAGAACTAATTTATCAGGATATTACTTAGTTCCTTTTGTTATCCAATTGCCTATTTTATGAAATCATAAAAATTATTTAATGTCATTTCTTTATCATATTTATATAATTTATACATTTTTATACATTAATAAGTAATTTAAGAATTTAATACATGCATTCTATATTAGTTCTTTTTTATTAAATTAGTATTTTAGTAACTGGTGAGTGAGATTAGAAGATTCAAAGCTTAGAAAAGAAAGCTTTGACTAGACTTGACCTGTGTGCTTAGTGGTTAGAGCATCCACCTGTTCACTGAAGGGTCACAGGTTCGATTTCTGGTAAAGGGTACGTGCCTGGGTTGCCGCTCCCATCCCTGCCCTGGTTGGGGCGCATGTGGGAGACAACCAATCAATGTATCTCTGTCTCACATCGATGCCTCTCTCTCTGTCTCTCTGTCTGTCTTTCTCTCCCTCTCTTCCTCCCTTCCCTCTCCCTCCCTGCCTTCTAATGTCTCTTAAAAATCAATGGAAACATTTTTTCTCGGGTGAGGATTAACAAAAAAAAAAAAGAAGAAGAAGAACGCTTTGACTAGATAATGCAGCAAAAGTGATGAGGTATAGTCCTGGCTGGTGTGGCTCCGTTGGTTGGGCACCATCCTATGCACCAATTCCATTCCCTGGTCAAGGCACATGCCTGGGTTTCAGGCTGGATCTCAAGCTGGGTGATGTGCAGGAGGCAGCTAATCGGTGTTTCACTCTTAGATGGATGTTTCTCTCTCCTTCTCCCTTCCTCTCTCTCTCAAAATCAGTTTTAAAAAAATTTTTTTTAAGTGATGGAGTATAAAAGCAAAAAGTATTCTTCTTTTTTTTTTTATCCTCACTTGAGGATATTTTTGCATTTATCTTCAGAAAGAGTGGGAGGGAGAGAGAGGGAGCAAAAGGAAGAGAGAGAGAAACATCAACATGAGAGGGACACATCGTATGATTGCCTGCCGCACGACCATGACCAGGGCCTGAGAAGAACCAAACTGAGGTATCGAACTTGACCGGAATCGAACTTGAGACTCATTGGTCTGCGGGCCAACACTCTACCACTGAGCCAAACCGGTCAGGGCACAAAAAGTATTCTTGATGGTAATTTAACTGAAGACTCTCAGGAAAAATGGGCCTACACTGTTCAGCACTATACTAATAAATACTTTGCTATAAAGCAGTGGTTCTCAACCTTCCTAATGCCGCGACCCTTTAATACAGTTCCTCATGTTGGAGTGACCCCCAAGCATAATATTATTTTTGTTGCTACTTCATAACTGTAATTTTGCTACTGTTATGAATCACCATCGGAAATATGTGTTTTCCGATGGTCTTAGGCAACCCCTGTGAAAGGGTCGTTCAACCCCCAAAGGGGTCGCGACCCACAGGTTGAGAACAGCTGCTATAAAGGCACTGTTAAGTCACAATCAGTACTGTTGACAGTGGACCAGTTACAGACCTTTTTGATAAATGTAAGATCTAAGAGAGGACGAAACTGAGGCTGATGGTCCTTGAGAAATGTATAAATATTCATGTTCTGTATGATAATAGCTTTTATAGAAACCTTCCTAGAAATTACCCATCCTAAAGTGTCATTTGGAGAAAAATTATTGATAAGATTATTGTTCCTCCCTTAGCACACAGCCACTCTTATATATGAGCTACATAAAATAAATGATAAAGCCTAGATATTGTATAATATAGTGGTATGTTGAAATGTATTGTGATAAGTGTAGATAGAAGGATCAGATCAATTCAGTAGAAAATTGGCTGGAAAGAACTTTTGTTTTCTTCTCTTAAATTATCCTAGGACAGCCCTGGCCGGTTTGGCTCAGCAGTTGGAGAGTTGGCTTGCGAACCAGAGAGTCCTAGGTTCGGGTCCCGTAGGGGCACATACCAAAAAAAAAAATTATCCTAGGACAAGGTAGACTCTAACTCTGGGTATTAATAATATGTTAGGTAATAAGGACCATGGCTCTGGCCCTCAAGGAGCTTGAAATGTATTAAGAGAGATGAATTAAGTAAGCAGACAACTAAAGTTCGATGTATAAAGTACTATGATAGTGATAAGTGCAGGATTTAATGGGGTCACATAAAAGGATCACCTAGCCCAGCCAGTGTGACTCAGTGTGTTGAGCGTCATCCCATGGACTGAGAGGTCCCGATTTGATTCCCCATCAGAGCACATGCCCAGGTTTCGGGCTCAATCCCCAGTAGGGGGTGTGCAGGAGGCAACTGATCAATGTTTCTCACATCGATGTTTCTCTCTCCTTCTCTTTCTAAAAAATCAATAAAAACATACTTTAAAAAAATTTTTTAAAGGGTCACCTAGCACCAGGCTGAATGTGGGATCATTACTTTCTATGTTATAAATCCTCAAACACTTATCAAATGCTGAGTATACAATAGGGATTTTTAATTTGATTAATTGAAACATACCTGATTTTTTTTTAAAAAGCATAAATCTGGACTTAATTTTTGCTTAAAACAATGTCTTTAAACTTTATATCAAAATGTTTTTCTTTAGAAATACTTTTCATGTTGCTATAGTAATTTCAGTGACTACATAAATTAATCAGTATTCACCGCTAACTCTTGAATGTAACTGGTAGTAGACAACAGGAAAGACTTTGTACTTTAGGAGGAGCTATGTCCTACAGTGCTGGGTACATAATAAATATTTAAAAATAATTCTGAAGCCCTGGCCAGTTTGGCTCAGCAGTTAGAGCATCAGCCCTTGAACCAAAGAGTCGAGGGTTTGATTCTCAGTCAAGGGCATGTACCTACCTAGGCTGCAGGTTTGACCTCACCCCAGTCAGGGTCTCATGGGAGGCAACTGATCAATGTGTCTCTGTCACATCAATGTTTCTCTCTCTCTCTCTCTCCCCCCTCTCTTTCTCTTCCCCTCCCTCCCTCTCTTCTACTCTCTCTCTAAAAAAAAAAAAAAAAAATTCAATGGAAAAATATCCTTGAGTGAGGATTAACAACAAAATGATAAATAAGTAAAATAAAAATAATTCGATAATTTCTCTACCCACACCATCAAACTCTTTAAAGGAATTTCTTATTCTTAATGTTTAAGATTAATTGTGATGATGAGAGGACATGTAAAGGATGATTTTTGTGTAATAATAAACACTGTATTAACCAGTGGGGGAAGAAAAATAGCTTAGAACCCTTATGTGGCATACTAGGGACACTTACACATGATTGAGTTAGAACTAATGCATATGAAAAATTAGAGGGCAATGCTTAATTCTTTGGTAGTGACTATAAATATAATATTAGTTCATTGATTGATTCAATAAACGTTAGGTTCCTCCAGTTTATGATGTACACTACACTAAGGGCCAGAGATAAGAGATTAAAGCATACAGTCTGGGGAATAAGGCAGGAAAACACAATCATGGTATAGTATGATTTAGTGCTACAATAGAAATAGGTACAAAGTACTGTTGGTGTATGAAGGAAAAACAGCTAATGGTGCAAAGAAAGGAAAAATTAGTATCGATGTTTCTATCTCTCTCCCTTTCTTTCTCTCTAAAATCAATAAAAAAAAAAATTTGTTTTTAAATCTACTTGGCCCACTATTTATTATGTTGTACGGATCTAACTAGTAGGAATAATTAATATGCTTTAAGCATACAGACTATAAAATTTCTCTTAAATATTTAAGTAGTTTTGATCAATTTAACAGTCTTTTTCTTTTGTTATTTCTTATTAAGGGTCTACTGTATTTGCTGGTAACAGATCAGGGGTTTCTTACTGAAGAAAAAGTTGTTTGGGAAAGCCTACACAATGTCGATGGTGATGGAAATTTCTGTGACTCAGAATTCCATCTTCGGCCTCCTTCAGATCCTGAAACTGTATACAGAGGACAACAAGATCAGATAGATCAGGTAAATTTGTATGTTTCTTCTAGGTATTTAAAATGTTCATTCTGCCCTGGCCGGTTTGGCTCAGCGGTTAGAGCGTCCGCCTGCGGTGCGGAGAGACCCGGGTTCGGTTCCCGCTAAGGGCACATACCTCAGTTGCAGTTTGTCCCCGGCCCTGGTTGGTCGTGCGGGTGGCAGCCACTCGATGTGTCCCTTTCACATCGATGTTTCTCTCTCTCTCTCTCTTCCTCTCTCCCTCCCACTCTATCTGTACAAAAAATGGAAAAATGTCCTCGGGTGAGGATAAAAAAAATAAAATAAAAAAAAATGTTCATTCCTTTCAAATATGAATTTAGTTATCTAAAACTTTTGAACTAAAGATTTATTTATTAATATACTTATGAAAATTTTCTGACACTTCCTAAATAGGTAGGTAATAATTCAACATGTACATTAATTATACACTTTAGTTCAAAGGGCCAAATCATATACAACTGTGAAGATCATGGTAAAGAGTCTGAATTTTATTTTAATTGTAATAGGTAAGATATGCCAAGTATATCACATGGAAGTGACATGATCTACTTCACCTTTTTAAAAGCTTGCAAAGTGGAGAATACAGAGGCGCGGGACACAGGTATAAGTAGAGACTAGTACCAAGCAAGAGGTGATGATGCTTACTTAGCTTTGGGTGGTAGAGATGAAGAGATGAGGACATAATTGAAATACATTTTGGCAAATCAGAAAATATAGAAAAGAGGGAGAGTCTTGAAGATAACACATTCTGGATAGAGTATAGGGGGCTATTCTAAGCCTATACATCTAAGTCCAAGTTAAGGAAGAGTAGACTAGTGAGTAGAATCCCCATTTAGAACTGAGGCAGAAAAGATTTTTGCCTGCTGTAGGTGAGCAGGCTTGCTGCTACAACGTGTTTATTACTAGAAGAATAACAGTGATGTGACTTCTCCAGCTGAGGCAGATATATGGTTAAGTGGTTGACACATGTTTTGCTCATAACAATTAAGTACATAGAGACTGGGTTCATTTAGTCAGTATTCATTGAGCAGGTATATTCCTGGCTCTATAACTAGGTCCTGGGTACACAAAGATAAATCATTCAATTTTGCCCTCAAAGATTCTGCAGTCTAGCAAGGAAAGCAGTTATTTAACCAACTAACATTATGTGCTGTTCTGTAATGGCAATTTGAATAGCAAGGTATGAATGCACAAAAGAATACTGGATTCAAACAAATGTTAATATTTCTAGGACTTTTGGTTTTCCTTTGACAGTTATACTAATAAACGTCTATTTTCCTTCAGAAGCTATATAGGGGCATTGATTTTTATTTTTATTTTTTTTATCCTCACCCAAGGACATTTTTCCTTTTTTTTGTTCAGATAAGAGTGGGAGGGAGAGAGAGGAAGAGAGAGAGAGAAACATCGACGTGAAAGGGACACATTGAGTGGCGCCTCCCGTACAACCCAGCCAGGGCCGGGGACAAACTGCAACCGAGGTACATGCCCTTAGTGGGAACCAAACCCGGGTCTCTCTGGACCACAGTCCAACACTCTAACCACTGAGAAAAACTACCAGGGCAATTTTTAAATATTACTTAAGAGAAATGCAAGATTTTTCTAACTACTATATGCACAAAATATTGGAGCAGAGAGAATGAAGGTAAAGTGGTGGATTGCCACAGGAAGTCCAATTGTAAGGTATTAAGAATTTATACACACACGCACAAGTCAATAATGGTTGATAGTGTCTGTGTAAATAGCAAGGAAGGAGTGGATTTAAGGCCATGGGACTTGACAAAGAGCAGAGTTTGAAGAATCGAGAAAAAATTTGAAGGATAATTTTTTTTTTGTTAATCCTCACCTGAGGATATTTTTCTATTGATTTTTTTAGATAGAGTGAAAGGGATGAAGGAAGGGAGAGAGAAAGAAACATCAATGTGAGAAAAATACATTGGTTGCCTCCTGCATGACCCCAATTGACAATCAAACCTGCAACCCAAATATATGCCCTTTACTGGGAATTTAACCTGCAACTCTTTGGTCCATGGGCCGACGCTCTAACTGCTGAGCCAAACTGGCCAGGACTATATTAATTATTAATAGTAGTTATCTCTGTATAACAATATTATGGTAATTTTTACTTCCTTACTTATGGTTTTCTATTTTGTCCTAATTTTCTACAGATGTGTGTTTTTTTTAAACAGGGGGAACCTTTTTTAAGCTTTCTCAAATGCTTTATATACTGCTTCTAGAAAGAATTGCAATCCTGTCAGGTTACTCAGTGGTTATAGAGTGTCTGCCCGCAGACCAAAGAGTTGTGGGTTTGATTCCAGTCAAGGGCACATACCTAGGTTGCAGTTTGGTCTCCAGTCGTTCAGGAGGCAGCTGGTCCATGATCTCTCTTGCATTGATGTTTCTCTCTCTCTTTCTCTCCCTCCACCCCCACTCTATCTGAAGATAAATGGGGGGGGGGATATCCTCGGGTGAGGATTTAAAAAAAAAAAAAGAATTTCAAATGAGTTCCAAAAATATTTAGAAAAATGGCAGCATCATTGAAATAAGTTTATACTCCCAACCAGAAACACTTAGATTTTTTTTGTTTTTATATTTAAACTCTGGTATGTTTTTAAAAAGCCATTCTCATAGTTTTGTAGATATAACTTCTTTTTTTTTTTTTTTTATCCTCACCCGAGGACATTTTTCCATTTTTTGTTCAGGTAGAGTGGGAGGGGGAGAGAGGAACAGAGAGAGAGAGAGAAACATCGACGTGAAAGGAACACATCGAGTGGCTGCCACCCGCACGACAGACCAGGGCCAGGGACAAACTGCAACCGAGGTACATGCCCTTAGCGGGAACCGAACCCGGGTCTCTCAGGACCGCAGGCCGACGCTCTAACCGCTGAGCCAAACCGGCCAGCGATATAACTTCTTTATACTCCTTAATTCTTGGGTAAAGTCTCATAGCTAAAGATGGTTATAATTTAATTTCTTAGGACTATCTTATGGCATTATCTCTACAACAAGAACAGCAGAGCCAAGAGATCAATTGGGAACAAATACCTGAAGGAATCAGTGATTTGGAACTAGCAAAGAAGCTCCAAGAAGAAGAGGATCGACGGGCTTCTCAATATTATCAGGAACAGGAGCAAGCAGCAGCTGCTGCTGCTTCTACTTCGGCTTCTCCACAGGCTCCGGTAACAACCAGTGTTCTGATTCTTAAACATAATGATCACTTTAACAATAAAGGAATTTGTGCTGAGATAAAATATTGTAAATTAGGTATTGATTCTTCAATTATGTTAGTATTTTAGAGCCCATTAGGTTTTATAACATTATCCTGTTTTTGTGATTATCTTATTATTCTTTTCATTTAGTGAAGTTATTTTTCCTAAGGTTCTGATGATGAGATTTTTCAAATTTATTTTTTTTAAGTTATTCATAGATGCAAAGAATATAAACCAATTTAAACAGTCTTTTCTGTCAATTAGTGGGCAGTATGAGGTACTACTAGAAAGAATGTAGACTTCAGAGCCAGATAGATTTGCATTTCCCATAACACCTTGGACAAAGTTCTCTGCCTCTTAGTCTCATTTTCCCTGTCTGTAAAATAGAAGATAATACTTAACTCTTAGGTTTGTGTTTGAGAACAACTAAACGCAGTGTCTGACATGTACTAAGTATTCAACCAAGATTAGCACTTTCCCACTTTTTACTTTTCCCAGTTGAATATTTTAAGCACTGCAAATGTGATTATTAAATGGGTTTTTATATGTTAAATCTCATTGCATTAAATGAAAAAAAAATCCCTTTTTATATTTAACTGTACCATGCCAGAACTGTTCCTTTGATTTGTGTATATAAGAAAGCAAGATGCCCTTTAAGGTCTGATGAAGATTTAAATATAGAGGTTTCCATTAAAATAAGTGTAACATATCTATTTCTAGCTCAAATATTGACTACCCCAAACTTAAAAGTTAAAACCTACCATTTATGATTAGCTTTTCATTTAAAATTTTTTCTTATTTCTCCAAATAAATTTATTCCACACTCTCAGTTTTCAAGATTTATTTTCCTCGTTGTAAAATCTGTTTATTGCCCAGCCAGTGTGGCTCAGTCATTGAGCATGGACCCATGAACCAACAGGTCGCCAGTTTGATTCCTGGTCAGGGCACATGCCTGGGTTGTAGTCCTGATCCCCAGTCAGGGGGGTGGCATGCAGGAGGCAGCTGATCGATGTTTTTCTCTCTCTCTCCCTCATCCTTCCTCTCTCTCTAAAAAAATCAATGAAACTTATTTTAAAAAAATAAAATCTTCATAAAAATAAAATATTTTTATTATGGTATTTAATAGAGTCTTGGAGAACTATTATAGTTTACCAAATAGTCTCACTTTCATGAACAGTCTCCAAACTTTAACGTAAATAATTCTTGTATTTGAGACTTTAGGCAGTATAATCTTACATGACTTTATTTATTGTTTGAAATCTATTTACTTAGAGTAATGGCTACATTAATTATATCTATCCAGAATGGTAGAGGCAACTACTCAGATACTTTGTAACATAACAAATCTATATACCAATAGCTTTCTTTTTCATTAACGAGTCCTTTCACTCTTGTGACTTTTTTTCTAGATAACTATGATTAAGCACCTTAAAAAAGTTGAGGTAATTTCTTCCTGTTTATTTCTCCTAAAGCAAAGCCAGCCAGCACAAGCCTCTCCATCAAGTGGAAGACAATCTTCAACTAGTGAACGTAAACGAAAGGAACCTCGAGAAAAAGATAAAGAAAAGGAAAAGGAAAAAAATAGTTGTGTTATTTTGTAACAAGTGTTGGATTCAATTGGAACCATCTATATGTCTTGAGAAACAAAACCACAGGAGGAAAGAAAGAAAAACCGATAAATACCGTCTGTGCCTGATTTCCCAATGGATTTTGTTCATGTATTTCAGGGGAAAGGTTGTTACTTAGCTACAATCAGACTTTTTCAAGTCACACAGTACACTATTTATGAGCTGGAGTTTCATGTTACAAGTTGGAAATGCTGTGTGTTGTCATTCATGAAAAATACTGCACTTGTAGCCAAATAAGCAAATCACAGCAAGTTTTGTGTCATAGTGACATTCATAACTCTTATCAGTTAGTAAGCTATTTTATCTTCTGTTCTAACAATGAATGGAGGCAATTGATTTTTTCTGATTCCTTCCTGAACTCTAAATATTATTAGCACAATAGTTTCTGAAATTAATTTTTACAATGTTAAATTATGATCTAATCCACAAGAAACCAGGGGTTTAATATAGGGATTTAAAAAGGAAAAAAAATAAAAAAGGAAAAAAAAAAACCGAATAAATAAATTTTAATTGTATATTGGACTAATTGGACTAGTTCAGCCCTTGAACAGCTTTACCTTTCTTTAGGAATGTACATTTTAGATATTACCATGAGAACTGATAATGCAGCTTGGATTTATTAGATAGAAAAAAATGAAGATTTGTATTTCTTTTCCAATAGCAAAAAATTACATAACACTAATATTCATATCCTATCAAAATCAGACATTATGACTTTATAGTGTTGTGAAATTTTGAAATCTTTAATATAGGTAACTTGGACCACAGTTACTACTTACTGACAGTGTAAAAGAGAGTAAGAAGGAAACCACAGTGGATGCTAGGCTTTGTAAATATGGGGATGTAGAAAAGCAAATAGTTCAGTGTCTACCTTTTTCTAGAATTACCTTGAACCTTAACGTTTAAATCATGTTTATTTGCTAGAAAATTAAGTATACTTATTAAAATTAACAAAAAAAGCACATTTCTGAAAGGAGGTTAGACAGAGATCATCTCTGACTGTAGTAAAAAAGCATTAATAAAAATCTGTTGGAGGAATTTATATAAAAGCAATCCATTTTTTTAACTTATGGGAACCAAATAAACCTATAACATCTTATAGTGTTTGTAGGACTCAGAAAGAATATTTATTAAACTTTATCATTGAGGCAACACATATATTCCTGTATTTCTAGATACAGTTGGGAATACTATCCTTAATAGTCCCTTTTGTATGCTTTATATTTAAAAGTTTGTTTTAGTCATTTTTGAAATGACTATTGCTGCTGCAAGTAGTTATGTGATTTACCTTCTAAGCCTCAGTAAATTTGTTTAAGAACATCCGTCTAACCTGAGCATCCACTTAGAGAATGTTTTTTTGTGGTCTGGGTGACAATAGACTACAAAAAAAAAATGTGGTCTAGATTGTTTAAGCTATGTCCTTAAAATTCTCCGTGATCCAAGAGGATTAGTCTACATGTAAAAAGTGAAGTCTTATTTATGGAAGGAATTATTCTAAGGGAAAAATCCAGGGTCAAGCTGTATCTTTTATGTCTTATGTATTGCATGTCTGTTTATGTTATATCATTTGTTATTCAAATTTCCTATGCTAGCATGATAATCATCAGAGAACCTGTTTGGGGTATAAAACTTTGATATAAAATATCTGATGAGTCTCTTGATAAGAATATGTGTACATTGGTAAAGTAATCAAATGTACTACAGGATTCTCTGTTGGCTCAAAAAAGTTGACCTTAGTCCAGGTTTACTTTTGGTATCACTCTGGTTGAAGGAGGAAACTAAAACCTCAGGGTTTGTTTTTCCCAAAACAGATAGTAGTGATAGTGCAGTATATTTTAATAAGAAAACAAAACAAAACAATAATCCTGAGAAATTTTACAAAGCATATTTGAGGCATATTTTCCCATAATTATTTACTTAACTATTTATTGCCCTTGAAAAATATATGTGTAGAAGTTATTCTTTTGTTGTGTGCTACTGTCTTCTTAATTTGTTCCAAGATAATACTGCCATTCTCCATTCCCTCTGGAAGGAAAAAACACTCAAAAGCAGCAGTGCTCTCAGCCTAGTAGATGTCAGTGTGTACTTCCACAAAGAGCTGAAACGTGTAATGTGTTTGTTAATTCAACCTTTTTCTATGTAATATTTCCAAGTCAGATTTTCTTACATTCCTGCAGTGTTTGATATATCAAAAATAATAATGATTACATGTTTGCTTCGATTACTGTGGGGAAAAATTAAATGTTTGATTCTATTAAAACAAACAAACTTCTCAGAGATACTGGTTTCCCATCCTTTAAGGTTTTAAAGAATTTAAAGCTGTTATGTCTTTATTTTCTTATATTTTGCTCAAGGCAACCAATTATATTCAGACATTTCATTGCTGGTTTGGGTATATTAGAATTCGATAGTGGTATATTAAAGTCTTCACAGTATTTTGCAATACTTGAAAATTGTTACATGTATACTGCTAACAGCAGTTAGAACTCAAACATTTTTGTTTTTAATATTTATAGGTACATTTGCATCAACCAATCACCATTACAGCTAGTAAAAGAGGCACATGAATGAATGATATGATCATTGCACTTTCTCATACTTTCAAAACCTATTCCTTAAGGTTAGTGACCAGTCTTTATTAAAAATATGAATTTTCTTTATGTCCAATCCCATTGAATCAACAGTGCTATTATTCAAAATAGGTTTTTGGCATTTAAAAGTACTTATTGTGTATTTCTAAAGCAAGGATCCATGACTTCTATTAGATTCTCAAAGGCATTTGGGAATTTTCTCTCAAATTTAAGAATCAACATTTTAAGAATATACACACTAAGCAGTCTGAAGCAGCTAAAAAATAATTGGCAGTGGCTGCTTCCTATAATATGCTGGTCCACTGTGCTTAGGTAAAGTACCTTCTGTGTTTTAAGGTGTCAGGTTAGTAATTAAATGAGGCATAGATTTAAGTTTAGGATTAGGTTTTGGAATATATTTTGTTTTATTGTCTCACATTTCTAGTATTTGACTACTTATCCCTTATTATGTTTTGAATTCTTCCTCATACTTCTTGATCTTAGTTTAATTAAGCAACTTAGTATCAGAGATTAGTTGACTGAACCCAACATTAATCATTTTGTACTTGCACAAAAACTTTTGTTTATACCGCGTCACCACCTCGGTTCAGTAAGAGACAGAGCGGTGAGAGGGAAAGGGAGTCAGACAGATACTTCAGGGAAGAACCGTGTGGTCCCTATTTAATGTGAGCAGGTGAAGTGGAAATCAAGGCAAAATCGTCCTCAAACAGTCTGTTATTAGTTTTAATTTTAAAGCAAAAGGTAAACTTTCTATTCAACATACCAGTTATTTTAAACATGATGGAAAGCTATGGGCTTTACCTATCACACAATATTTGAGCATACAACTTAAACTATAATTATAAATCTACTCATGTTTTATCAAATAAAATGGAGGCATTAAAGATAGTATTTAAGTTATGTTTTAAGGAACTGGAAATGTGGGATTCTGAATCACTTTATGTCTAAAAACCTGGCTTTTCTGTTGCCATGGTAAAACTTCCTGTGCCTCAGTAGTTCACTCTAAATATGGAAATGATGCTTATTTTCTAATGGTTTGCACTCCTGAATAAAGGGCATAGTATAAGCACAAAGTATTACTTAAATAATCATAAATATTACACATCTTTTGTTCTTGAAATGTGCAGATTTTCACCCAATGACAATATTTCTTAAGTCCATTTTTTAATGCTGTCAAAATTTGTAGAACTGTCTTTGAGTATGGCGTCATCTCTTCTCAATGTATTTTACCATTGCTTTTGTGTTCTGTGGACTATAGGGTCAAAATCAAAAGTATTTGGGGAAAATAAGAAGCAGTAAACTTCTATTTTCCCCAACATTTTTCATATATTTAAATATTTAGATTCTCTGCCTTTTCCTCCATGGAACAAAGTTCAGTGGTATTAGGCTACTACTATCATATATGTAAACTTGATTGCATGCGTGGAATTTGTTTAGATCTCTCTCAAATACCGTCATTTTTAAGGCTACTTAAATTATTTCTTTTTTTGTGTAAAATGTTATTTGATGATGTGCAGTTAAATTCTGTTTAGAAAGTGACTGAAAATGGTAAAGGAACTCATCAGAATCAGAGTTCTTAGGTTCTCTGGTAATTTAGTGTCTTTTTTTTTTTTTTTTTTTTTACTGGTGTCCAACACTTTTGAAGCTATTGGGAAAACATGAAGAATGGAGGTTATTCTTCTCGAGTGACACTATGAAACAAAGTAAAATTTAAAATAGAAGGCTTCCTGGACAAAATAAATGACCAAATAGAGAAAACAGAGTCTGTGTGACAAATTGCAGGACCCTGAAAATGTTTTTAAAAATATGTTTTTGTTGATTTCAGAGAGAGGAAGGAAAAGGGAGAGAGAGAAAAAACATCAATGAGAGAGAAACATTGCTCAGCTCCCTCCTACACGCTCCCTAATGGGAATCGAGCTGTAACCCTGGCACGTGGCCACCTCCTGGTGGATGGGATGAGACTCAACCAACTGAGAGCCACACCAGCCAGGCAGGACCCTAAAAAGTTTAACTTTGAAAATCTATCTAAATTTTATCATGCATGTATCTTACTTAATCCTTGTGTTTCTGCTGTTAAGAAATTAGAGTTTAATAAATTGATAGGCATATATATATTTTTACATGAAGGATTCTAGTTTCTAATTTCACTTCTATCTCAAAAACATTAAACTCAAAAACAGGGTAAAAGTCTTCAACTACTGCCACAAGTTCAGCTTCATACTATTTTTCTGAGAAAAAAGAAAATTTGACTTGTCTGCCTATAACAGCTATTTTTAGGGCACCGTAGTATCGCAGACAAGGTGTTGAAATACCATGGCAGAAATACAAAACCTAAGCTTTAAATCACAGTAGATTAAAGAACAAAAAAAATTGTATTATTTTTCTACAAAAGTCTCTCTACTTCATCAGATATTTATTGTAAGAATTTCTTCAAATCATGTAGTAATTTGTCACCAATAACTTTTAAAACTTTATATCCATCCTCACTGTAATATCCTGCTTTGAGAGGCAGGGATCCTCCTAGATTAGAAAAGACACAGAGCACAATTCTGAAGGTGATCCTGGTTCTTTGGCTTTAGAAGATAAGCTTTAAATAGGAAGGCAGGAAACGAAATTGTCCATTCAAGTTCCCAAACCAGTGACCTGTTTTGAACATTATAACAAGTACCCAACCAAGCAGTTCTACGTAATGGAATTTTGTTGTTAATCCTCACCCGAGAATATTTATTTTCCACTGATTTTTAGATAGAGTGGAAAGGAGGGAGGGAGTAGAAAGAGAAAGAGACACATTGATTGATTGGTTAGTTGCCTCCTGCAGAACCCCAACACGGGTTGGGGACCGAACCTGCAAGCAACCCAGGTTGTGCTCTTGAACCTGCGGGCCGAT